ATAAGTAATGAGCAATTCACATACTGTAGCATCTATTTTAAAACTAATGCATAAAACTGATGCATTCTAAAGCTAATGTAATCTTTTCAAGGTTGCATATAATTGTTTTATGCCTATGGGATCTGGGCTCACAGTAAAACTGTATAAATGTTTCGTAAAAAGATAGCTGGTGCTTTATTATAAATCATTTTTCATATCATAAATACATTAGCAAAACAGATGCAACTTATCGCTAAGAAGATATATTACCAATCAGAATGTTTTTTCCTCTACTTAAAAGTGAAGAAAACTGAGTTTTTAAATAATATTCATAAATACACTACAATGTTTTAATCAAGAAATGAATGCTCACATTTTGACACATATGATACAGTAAGGCAGAGCAGTGAGATAATCAACTGCATATAGTGTTCATCACCCATTCAGGTACATTGCACTTTCACTGGATTATGAAGTATTCTCTTTGTCTTGTGTTTACATTTGTCTGTGTGATATATTCCTATATTTATCTATAGTTGGCAGTAAAATGCTTGAAATGTTTTTCACATCAACAGGTAACATGTACATGTACAGTAACTGGGGATGAGCAAACTGGGAAAGCAGGAGGTTTGGCCATTAACTCCTTGATCAGTGAAATTATTTATGAACCCCATTGAAGTCAATGAGAGTCTATAGGAGTCTTGGTATTTTTTTTTCCAATGCTAATAGGCAGTCTATTGCTCAGTGATAATGCAATGAGACTATCTTTTAATATGGCATTTAGGGCAAAATTAAATATATTCATGCCTTAGATGGGGGATACCTTAAAGCTGCAAATGAAGTTACAGGACAGTTTGATGTAGCTCTTTAAAAGTGACCCTAAAAAGAGAAAAACAGGCATGCGGTTTCCTCTAAAATTCCAGCCAGACCATTATCTAGACATGCAGCCTGGGTGGCCAGGAAAGGGAGGGCAGTGAACATGCAAAACTGCCCCTGTCGCAGGGCATTTTGTTCAAATGTTGAGGAACACGTCCTAATCTCCACATCCTTTCCACTAAAAGGAATACCTTTTACACCTTTGGTAGCCCCCTTTAGTAAAGGGGGTTCCCAGATATCTGCGTCCTCCCAGGAGAATGAGTACCGGAGTATCCTTTATTACTCATTCCCAAAAAAACTGAAAGTGTAAATAAACATACAGATACAGTGAAAAAGTTCTAAATATAATGACATTTTAAAAATGTAAACAGTGTTTTATGATGTAAATCCAACATCAATCACTTAATCCAGTGATTTAGATCCTTTGTCAATCACTGCCCTGCTGCCTGGTAAAGCTTTCCTGTTGCCCACTATGACCCACTGCCTAGCAATGCTTTAATGCTGCACTACTGTTGCTAAATGAAAGAACCCTTTTCTGTTTTTTTTTATTTCTAAAGAAAGAGTACACATCAAGAAATGTAAAGAGAAAAAAATCCCATCAAAAAATTCAGCCAGGTCTATATCCAGGCATGAAGCCTGGGTTGTCAGGAAGAGGAGGGCAGCGAACATGCACCTCCCTTTCATATGGCACATGTCTGTCAAGTTTGGAGAGACACCAAGCATAAAAGGGCAGCAAAGATCCTCTTTCAAGGCATCTTGTTCCAATGCTGAGGGGCAAGAGCCTCTTCTCTACAAACTGTTGCCTGATGATGTTTCCCTGCACTCTATTATGCTTCCTTACTGCACCACTACTGAAAAATGCCTAAACATTTTACATTTGAGGGACAGTACAATTTAAAAAAATTGTAGCATTCCTCCTTAATATTCCAACCAACCCCTTATCCAGACTTGCAGCCTGGGTGGTCAGGAAAGCACGTGCAGGCAGTAAGCATGCTTCCACCCCTTCCTGTGTCATACCAAGCTACACACCTTCTAACAATAAGGACATGCACGGAAATTTGAATTTTAAGAGGAACCCCATGCTGTGTATATTATCCCATAAAAAAAGGGGTCCCCCCAAATCTGCTTGTGCCCCCCCTTCTTGTACCATGTCAGACCACATGCCTTTCAACATTGAGGGGTACTTTTATGGGGGGGGCTGCACAGCCTCTCCTCCGTTGCTAAATAATGCCCCCTGATATAAAATCTACATCAATCACAACATCCAGTGATGTAGATCCATCAACAATAAGGAAATCCCACCACCCTGCAATGTTTCCAAACAACAAGGATGACCCACCACTCTATGATGCTTCCCTACTGCACTACTGCTGCTAAACAACAGAATCCTTGGCACTGATGTAATGGACATAACAGCCTCAAGGATCCTGGGAGATGACATTACCAACTATAAGGTAGCTAGTTTGTTCAGCTGTTCACAGAACCACAAACAGTCTGAGTTTGTGGCAAACCTGAATCTCATCCCTAATACAACATATTCAGCAAAGGAGATACTCCAAGATGATGTAGGCATATTATAAATTGACTAGTGCAGGATTTTTACAAAAATGATTTTCATTTCCCTCTTTTTACAATATAATGTTTTTTTAAAAATGCAGAGGAAATTGAAGCTAGGCTTTTCATTAGAGTTGAACTCCAGGCAAAAACAACTAAATAAGCAAATAGAGATACATATAGGGGTGTTGTTTTACCTGCCAAAGATTTATATTTTCTGCTGTAGGTGGAAATAACAGACTAATAAGATCATAGATAACCAAGCTAAAACTTGGCAAGCCCAAATTTGAATTCTGGCAATTGCTGGTATGGGTGAGCTTAGTGTTTCGGTCTGAATGTTTAGAGCGTTCAGCATGAACGAACATGAGAGCTTCCGGCTGTCAATGGTTGTCAAGAAAGCAGCGGCTGCAAGTAGTTCGATATACAGACTGAACTTTAATCTGAATGCCAGACATTTAGAATATTCAATGAGGACAAACATGACAACTTTTTCTTGTCAATTGTTGTTAGGAAGCAGCAGCTGCTTGGAGCTGCTTCATCCTTACCTACCAAAGACATACCTGGCCCATTCATTACATCACAGGAAATTCCTGGACTTGTATTCAAAATAGGTGGGGAATAGAGCAGGTGACATCATTGCCTAAATATGGCCAAATATTTATTAATAAAAGGGCTTTTAGATTATGATGAGCTCATACGGCCCCCTGCCCGTAGACCCCTCACAACTATGAAGCAAGGGTTGCGTGGAAGAGGCTCTTGTCCTCATCAACATGGAGACAAGGTGCTTTGCCAGGGAGGTGCTGTTTTTCCTTTCAAAAAAGAAGCTAGGAGACAGATGTTATTTGCCAGCAATTTAAAACTCATTTTTCTTTGTGAATGTCAGTGTTGCAAAAAGTCACTGCTCCAGGCCACACAGGATTTGTAAATTTTTTTTTGTATAGGTACATGTTACCCAGGATAGTGCTCACCCCACCATGCTATTTTTTGACAACCCCTTGCCTATAAGCCCAGAAAATTGGCGTTTTTAATTTGACAGATTCATCTCCCATTTATTTCAATAGGGTTTGGGTTTAGCATCTAAACTTCTTTGATGTTTGGTGAACCTCTAACTGAACCCAGGGCAGTTTGACTCATCACTAATTGATAAGGCTAATAGAAAACGTCTGTCTAAAAAGGCATGGGAAGTTAAGCATTAGCAATAGGAGACAAGTACCAATGCAAATAAAAAAAAAAAAAAAAGAAAATGTTGCAATGGGGCATAGAGAAGCACAGCAGACTCTGGAGCAGGGATTAATCCAGGAGAACAGAGGGGAGTCCCACAGTTCATATCTTCCTGAAGGATCCAACCACACAACAAAAGTCATCATTTAATTTTATCAAAAGCCTGGCTTGCCTAGGATTAGGTTTACAAGAAGGTGAGCTCATAAGAGTGTCAAAATTGAAGCAGAGATTTAAACAGTGTTGTGAACACAAAGATTAATTTTTGGACACTTTTTTATTTATTTACTTTTTATATATTTCATTTTTTATATATTTCATTTTTCATTTTTCAATTTTTATGTTATATAATTTTATTGTCAAAAATGTATTATTGCACAATTATATATATTGTTTTATTTATAATATTCCACACATAATTGAATTCAATTACAAATATATTTATTTAATTTATAGTTTAATCATGCAAAGTGGATTGAAATATAGTTTAATAATATATTAATTTATCACCAAATTTATTTCACGTAACACAGATATTAAGTCTTTAGTTAATTTATCATAGGGGCGCAGCATTTTCCCTGTAAACATTTTACAGTAATTGCATATATCAATGAGGATATGATTGAGTGCCAGTGAACCACAAAAGTTAATTAAGTACATTGTTTGTGAGTCACAAGTAATTCACATATATGTTGCATGTCTTTGTCATCACTGGTGTTACTGTACACTATATTTCCAAAAGTATTGGGACGCCTGCCTTTACACGTACATGAACTTTAATGGCATACCAGTCTTAGTCCGTAGGGTTCAATATTGAGCTGGCCCACCCTTTGCAGCTATAACAGCTTCATCTCTTCTGGGAAGGCTGTCTACAAGGTTTAGGAGTGTGTCTATGGGAATGTTTGACCATTCTTCCAGAAGTGCATTTGTGAGGTCAGGCACTGATGTTTGATGAGAAGGTCTGGCTCGCAGTCTCTGCTCTAATTCATCCCAAAGGTGTTCTATCAGGTTGAGATCAGGAGTCTGTGCAGGCCAGTCAAGTTCCTCCACCCCAAACTCTCTCATCCATGTCTTTTTGGACCTTGCTTTGTGCATTGGTGCGCAGTCATGTTGGAACAGGAAGGGGCCATCCCCAAACTGTTCCCACAAAGGGTATGCTGACGCCTTAAGAGTTCCCTTCATTGGAACTAAGGAGCCTAGCCCAGAAAAACAACCCCACACCATAATCCCCCCCCTCCACCAAACTTTGCACTTGGCACAATTTAGTCAGGCAAGTACCGTTCTCCTGGCAGCTGCCAAACCCAGACATGTCCATCAGATTGCCAGACAGAGAAGCATGATTGGTCACTCCAGAGAACATGTCTCCACTGCTCTAGTGTCCAGTGGCAGCATTCTTTACACCACTGTACCCGACACTTTGCATTGCACTTGGTGATGTAAGGCTTGGATGAAGCTGCTTGGCCATGGAAACTCATTCCAGGAAGCTCTGTATGCACTTTTGTCATGCTAATCTGAAGGTCACATGACGTTTGGAGGTCTTTAGCTATTGACTCTGCAGACAGTTGGTGACTTCTGCGCACTGTGCGCTTCAGCATGCGCTAACCCCGCTCTGTCACTTTACATGGCTTACCACTTTATGGCTGAGTTGCTGTTGTTCCCAGTTGCTTCCACTTTGCTATAATACCACTAACAGTTGACCATGGAATTTTTAGTAGCAAGGAAATTTCATGGATGGACTTATTGCACATGTAGCAACCTATCACAGTACCACACTGGAATTCACTGAGCTCCTGAGAGCAACCCATTCATTCACAAATGTTTGTAGAAGCAGTCTGCATGCCTAGGTGCTTGATTTTATACACCTGTGGCCATGAGGTGATTGGAACACCTGAATCCAATGGTTCGGAGGGGTGTCCCAATACTTTTGCAAGTATAGTGTATGTCCATTTCTATACAGATACAAACTCTTTTTGTTTAAAATATATAATGATATGTATTATTACATGATTACTTCATGCATGATATGTATGGAGTGCCGTAAAACTCTAGGTGGTGTTATGGAACAATATAATTTTTTATAAACCATTTCAGCAAGAGCATATACTGGCAACACATATTTAGCAATTGAATTTTTCTTTTTACAATTAGCTTGGCATACAGTGGCAGCACCCCATTCTGAATAAGTTCAGATTTGAAAAAAAAAAAGTTTTCTTCAGGCAATTGTAGCAGGGTCATGTGTCAAATGATAATACTCCCTCTTTGACTGGCAAATAGATATTGTCTAGTAGTTTTCTGAGGCTGTCCTTGTTATCACTGATGCAAGTGCTAAAAAAAATGAATTATGAGACCATGCATAACCCTGTCCTTGTCCTTAGTTCCAACACCTACCTACTATATCCAAAAAAGTACGTATATTGTCTATAAAACCACTAAAATTATATAATTCAATCAATAAATCATATCTAAGATTTTTTTTCTTATTCTATGTTGATTAGCGCTATAGCTAAACTTTAAAAAAGGGTTCAGCAGCACCACAAAGCAGCCATTACCATTTTTTTTTAAATAGACTTTAATTGCTGCTCACTGAATTGCTCTTATTGGAAAGGGTGGGATCTGCTGGGAAGAGCTTGTCTCAGGCATCAGAAAGCTAGTAACAAAGTATAGCACATCCAACTGGATATCCTTCAACATTTCAGAATGAGTCTACTTACATACCCATACTAGGTCATGACCTTGAAAATAAAAACCGTCATAGGCACGGCAACAAAGTGAAACTAGATTCCAAGAGGGATATGTTTTAGGAATTTGTGGCAAGAATATGTGTTTACATTTTTTCTTTTTTCTGTATGTGTTTATATTATATAAGTAATTTCATACTAAAGAATGCAGCCATGGGACCATCTACATAATACTGAAAAATGGTAAATATCAGAGTGGAAAAAGTAAGTTATTGTTATTATTCATAAGATTACACTGCTTCCCACTGTGCACACAGTGGGGGTTATATACTAAAACTGCATTATGCAAAATCTGATGCTGCTATGCATAGTAACCAATCAGCTTCCAGGTTTTATTATCAATGCTTAATTAAACAAGCTGAATTTAGAAGCTGGTTACTATGCATAGCTGCACCAGATTCTGAATGCATCAGTTTTAGTAAATCCCCCCCACAGTGTACATAGAGGAAGCATTATTCATTCTGTTTTCAGTTGGCATCTCATATTACAAACAGTCCAAAGGTTTTGGGGACTCATGGAAAATGCTATAACCACTAGCCGCCCACTCACCTTACACTGCGGACGGGTGGCAGCTACAGGCAAAGTGATATATGGGTTCAGAGTTTGCATGCGCACAGAGCTGTGGAGTAGAGCTGTGCCTGTATTTGTAAATACAGGCACAGAATCTAGCTGGATCTTCTCTCCCTGGAACCTTTTCATTACCGGGAGAGAAGAAAGACATATTGCACGTGAGTAAAAGCAGCACATTTGCACCCACACATTAGACTAATACATTTTAACACCTTGATTGCCATTTTTGTTAACCCTTTGATCACCCCCTGTCACCCAGCCAGTGCCATTAGTATAGTGTCAGTGTATAGTATTGTTCACTGATCACTGTATTAATGCAACTAGCAATGTCAGATGGTGTCAGGGTCAGTTATCGTTCCTCTCAGCCAGGGTCAGCTAGCATTAGATTGCTGGCACACTATCATACTCACGCTATAGGTTGCTGATCACCACCATTACTAATGTAGTCTTTGTACGGATCAGTATATTGATCACAAACAGAACTATACTAGTGCCTCTTTAGTTGTAGTGTCCCTAAAAAATGCAGTATCAGCAGAATAAGCTCCACTTGCTGCCAGCACTTGTTTTTAGGCCCTCTGCCCCCACCCATCCCAATAAGAAGTGCAGTGTCAGTATAATTTCTGATCATTGTCACCTGTGATACATTGAACACAAAACCACAGCTTTAGCAGAATCAGGCCTGATCTCTGCTAACACTAGTAGGTGAATTTTATTGGTAGTGGTTCAAGCAATCCCTGACTGCCAGGTGCTCTTTTTCCCATGAGTCACACTAGGTAGCTGTAAATGTAGTGCCCAAAATGTCCTTAAAGAGGTACACTAGTGAAGAGGCCTACATGACTCTGAGCATGTTAGATGAGAGCGAAGAAAAAGTTTCTCAGACAGAATCAGCCTCAGAATATGAACCTGTAGAAAGCAGCAGTACCCCGACAGGTAGCTTGGACGCTGGAGAAGAGGTCCCTGTTAAGATCAGGCATACTCGTCCCATGTAGCTGAAGTTCTAGGAATACATGACTTGTCTCATATGCACCAGGGAGCCAGTACTAGTGCCGCACTACCTTTTGGTGAACTGGCAAGCACTAGCTGCCTAGTACATTATGACAATTTACATACCAGCACTGCAATATCACTTTTGTGACATGGCGAGTCCCATAAGTGCAGTACAAGTGTGGTGGCTAGCAGAAATAGCATTCCGCAGCCACCAAGAATTTAAATACAGGCTCACAGAGCCCATAAAGTCCTTCTGGGCATGCTTGCAAATCCTGATTGGCAGTCCACAAAATCTGCAGCACCCAATACTTCCCCCATCTACTGCCCAACCTGGAATTCAGGAGAAACATCAAATACTCCCCTTGATTGTTCTGAGCTGTTTTTCATGGAAGATTGTAACTCTGTGGTCCAAATCAATTTATACATAGTTACATAGTTAGTCCGGCTAAAAAAAGACAAAAATCTATCTAGTTCAACCATTTAAAAAAAAAAAAAGTTATAATCTTTTACCCAAAGTTGAGGAAGGCAAAAAAAAACCCAGCAAAGCGTGATCCAATTTGCTCCTGCAGGGGAAAACATTCCTTCCTGATCCCCCAAGAGGCAATCGGATGTTCCCTGGATCAACTTTACCTATAAATGTTAGCATCCACTTATACTCTGTGTACCTAGGAAATAACCCAGGCCTTTTTTAAAGCAGTCCACTGAGCTGGCCAGAACCAATTCTTGAGGGAGTCTATTCCACATTTTCACAGCTCTCACTGTGAAGGAAACCTTTCCGTGTTTGGAGAATAAATGTATTTTCCTCCAGATGTAAAGAGTGCCCCTTTGTCCGCTGTGATGACCTCAGGGTGAATAGCTCTACACTATACACTATATGAACCACTGATGTATTTATACATGTTGATCATATCCCCCCTTAATCTCCTCTTCTTAAGAGAGAATACATTCAGTTCCTCTAATCTTTCCTCATAACTGATCTCCTCCATGCTTCTTATCAATTTGGTTGCCCTTCTCTGTACTTTCTCCAGTTCCCCAATGTTCTTTTTGTGAATTGATGCCCAAAACGAACTGCATATTCCAGATGAGGTATTACTAATGATTTGTACAGGGGTAGAATGATATCTCTCTATGGAGTCTATACCTCTTTTAATACAAGAGATGATTTTGCTCGCTTTAGAAACCGCAGCTTGGCATTGCATGTCATTATTAAGCTTGTGATCTACCAGAACTCCCAGATCCTTCTCCACCATTGATTCCCCCAATTGTACCCCCCCCCCCCAGTATGTATGATGAATGCATATTGTTAGCCTTCAAATGCATAACCTTACCATTTATCAATATTAAACCTCATTTGCCACATAGTTGCCCAATTAAACAGTGCATTCAGATCAGCTTGTAAGTTGAAGACATCCTATTAGGACGTTATTCCACTCCACAGCTTGGTGTCCTCTGCAAAGACTGAAATAGTATTTATAAACCCAGACCCTATATTGTTTATAAATATAGTAAAAATTAAGGGTCCTAACACTGAACCTTGGGGTACACCACTGACAACCCTAGACCATTCAGAGTATGAATCATTAACTGATTGCCAACCAGCCACAGTACATATACTGCGGCAGGGCGGCACCGCTGCGCAAAATCATGTATATATATGTGATTATATATATGGGGTAGGGGGAGTGTGCGAGGCGCGCGACCGACCTACCTGCGTGGCGAATCGCAGCCGCAGGTGTCAGTCACCAGGTCCCAGCTGGTGATTACCCGCCGGGTCCTGGCGATTCCCGGCAAACACTGACATGGAGCACAGCTGCATTGTTTTCAATGCAGCTCTGCTCCCTGTCAGTTTCCAGCACACTGTTCCAGAGAGCAGAGCTTAGCTTTCCGGGACAGCGTGTTCCTGTGAAGAACACACCCCCCGCCCACTAGTAAAACACCCCCCTCACACAGTTAACCCTTTTATTGCCTAAAAATGTTAACCCCTTACTCCCCAGTGCCATTAGTACAGTGTCAGTGTTTTTTTGTACTGATCACTGTATTGGTATCACTGGGGATGTCAGTGACCCCAAGTCAGTTCCCCCCAGTATCAAAATGTCTGCCGCAGTCCCGCCATAAGTTGCTGACCACCGCCATAAGTCGCTGATCGCTGCCATAAGTCTGCTGCTCGCAGCCATTATTAGTTTTAAAAAAAAAAATTCCAGTATATATACTGCTATTTGTAAATGCTGCAACTTTCACATAAACCAATTATTTTACACGTATTGGGCTTTTTTTTTAGCAAAGACATGTCGCAGAATACATTTTGGCTGAAATTTATGCCATAATTTTTATTTTTACATTTTTTTACTGGACATGTTTTATAGCAAAAAGTCCAAAATATTTTTTTTCTCAAAATTGTCGGCCTTTATAGCGCAAAAAAATAAAAAATGCACAGGTGATCAAATATGACCGAAAGAAAGCTCATTTCGTGGGGAAAAAAAAGATGTACATTTCATTTTGGTGCAGCGTTGCATGACCGCGCAATTGTCAGTTAAAGTAACACA